TATGTTTTTTTTTTTTTTTTTTACCTCGGAGATATTGTCGTGGAAACAATTGAGTTACAGACTTTTCTTGGACCTGGGAAATATATTGTTGGAGCAAGATGTGTATAGACTTCAGTATCTAGTATCACACCCATGCATGCAACTCTATGAAGGAAGAAAAATTGTTCCCCAGCTTGATTGGAGTATAACTTTGAGGTGCATCTGGTAAACATTGTTTAGTTTAAGAAGTTGCACCACTATATAGAGAATAATGAGATTAGGACTTTGTTTCTTAGAAATTTAGGCTGAGACGTGACAAGAATTTAGTGTCTCTGAAAACAGTAAACTCACCCTCCTCCCTCAAACAATATTGCAAATTAATCTTCTTTTCCCAATGCTTGAACCAGTTAGTGTGTTATGCATTTTGGTGCACCAATTGTGTTTCTATTAGAACTAAGCTAGCTGTTAAGTAATTAATGGCTTAGTTTCAAAAGCTAGAAGAACTTATATAACATAGAGTTTCCATTAAGCTTAGATTGCTCCATTAGGGTTTGTGCTAGCTCAAATATGAAAAAAATACTATAACTGATCCTGTACTTCAGGCAATTACACTTGCATATAATACGAAATTTAATTCTGGAAAAAGAAAAAAAGTACAACCTTTGACAAACTTTTAGTTCAAAACTTGCACTAGACTGTAAGGAAACACACAGAAGATCATCAAGATTCATCATGATAACCCTAACAAAACTAGGGTTACATACACATTCGGAGGCAGAAAACAAAAGATACCCAAAAAAGTCCTCACCGGATTGCAAGTCTCCATTGAACTTCCGACCGTAGATCATCTCTTTCCACATCCACTCTTGCCTTCCAAAATCCAAAGAGAATAGCCACGAACATAGGCCCATGTAAAAATTACCATTTTATATGAGGTACATAAAATGGTCATTTTTGCACTAGTTGTTCTGGAAAGTTTGTCTATGGCACACACACAATCTGTACAAAATCAGCAAACAAACTACATATAAATTCATCGAATGAATTTCTATGGGTTGTGGCCAAGCCGAAGCTCCAAATCCAATTCATCTTCTGCACTTTCTGCATGTGCTGTACCAAACTTCAAACTCAAGCTCATCCGACAATCCTCTCCAA